TTTAATGATCCCAATATCTATATATATAAGAATAGCTTTGGCCAAAGATGCTTGTATTTTTTTTCCCATTTTGCCCTTATCTGTTGATAATATTTACCAGTATTGCAGGTACTAATTTCGATGAAGATTTTTTTTTCGTAATTATGCAAAATAACTTGATTAGTTATGAAATATAAATATTTTATTTTTGGAAATAGCTTCGGTCAAAGCGGCTTGTATTTTTTTTCCCATTTTGCCCTTTTTTTTGGTAATACTTACCAATATTGCTAGTACTAATTTAGATGAATGTTTTTTTCGTAGTTAATACAGAAAATTTTGGTCAATTATGAAACATGAATATTTTATTTTTAGATAAATTAAAAATACACTCATGAGATTTGCTCAAAATATGAATTTTTCTTACAATACTAGAAATTACAACTTCAACAAAAATAAATAAATAATTACTTTCTTATACAACAATAAAATTATCAAAATTATTCATTGAAAGATATTTTTTATATCATTAAAAACTATTAATTGACTTAATAATTTATTTATTTATGCTCTCATAAAAACTATTAATTGACCTAATCATTAAAAGTTAAGTTGTTTATGCTCTCATAAAAGAGAGTACACAAGTAATCAACTTAAATAATTTAATTAATTTATATTTTTTCATACAAATTTTTGCATTTTAACATTTGACTCGTACCCACAGATCATGTGATGAAAAAAAAAATTAAGAGTTGGGATTTTGTATAGTTATTTTCTTGGGAAATGCTATAATACACATCCCTTTAGAGGTGCATATTATATGCATCTTACCACACACACACAAAAAAAAAAAGTAACTTTACCATAAAATTTCATAACATCAATCATAATATGCATAATTTCGCTACAAATTGGTGTAACAAAGAATATTATAACTAAGTCACAATTTTTTGCAATATCAAATACCAAATTTTGAATATTTTATTATGCTAATTTGTTGCGAAGTTACTCTTTTTGTAGTTGATATTACAAATTTTTGTAGTAAAATTACACATTTTATGACACGATGCACATTTTGCAGTAAGTTACACTATAACATTTCTGCATTTTCTTTTAAAATGATTTTAGAGTGATTGTTTGTATGTGTATTATATTCTCAACTTTTGACTATAGGACGTTAAGCTTTGTAAAATTAAATATTAGTTATTCCAAAAATAAATAAATAAATAAAGCTCATGGCACATGTTATTACCCCTAAAAAGGAAGGAAAAAACAAAAGAAAAGAAAAGTTACACATTAATATCTCGTGCAACTAACTTGTGCCTTGCATTGGGCTTGCTTTATTAATATTAGCGGCACATGATATGTGTGCAAATTAAAAAAAAGTTATATTATGTAATTTATATATATATATATATATATATATGTGTGTGTGTGAGGACATAATTTTTGAATGACAACACGTGGTCGAGGTGGCACTGAAGTGTTAGCCGAGGTGCCACGTGTCCTAGTCATGATGCCGAGATAATCTCAGTTAGGCTAAGGTTATCTCGAAAATACTGAAATTCAGGATAAGCGGATAAGGGACAAGAGTCCTAAATTGGGAGAGGACTTCAGTCTGGATAAAGATAAGACTCTTAGAAAGTTTATCCAATCTAACTGGGAGTCCAAGATTAGCATTGAGTTAGAAGGCGTTGGAGTTAGGCTTTTATTGGGATTATGACAGTGTTTTATTGGGATTATGACAGTGTTGGCTATAAAAGAGAGGCTCCCTCGTGGGTTTAAGGTATGCTTTTTGCATCCTGAATAGTGAGTTAAACACTTTTGTTATATTTGAGAGATAATTGACTTGATCGTCGGGGTGCCCCGGGTGGACGAACCACCGCTGGAATATCTTCTTTCTGTGACAGGTCGTTCGAGTTTAATCTATTCTGTCAGCATTCTCTAGCTAAGCATTTGTTTGACAGTGTGATCAGAAATCGATTCACACAATATATATATATATATATATATTGTAATTTATATGTGTTTTTTTTAAGGGGAAGACATGGTTTTAAACGTTGTCCAAGTTATGAAAAACCAAAAGATGATGTATGGAGAAATTTTTTAAAACGTGTTTTGATATATACATATGCATACATTTCTGTATTTGATACTGTAAACTATATTGCTTGCTCCAGTATCCAGTTTAATGGTGCACTTTTTTTCGGCTCATTCTATCTTTTTTTTCTTTGGCATTACATTGTTTGGTTTTCTCTCTTCTTGCCAATATACAACTGTTTTTAGCAAAATTCTTTCTGAATCTTGTCATTTTAATGTAGGATATTTTTGTTGCTATCGGATTATTTGGAGATCATAGTCAGTCCATAGGCGGTAATGGTAAGCAAATTTACTTGCATATTCTGATTAAATACAAAACATAAACCAAAAAATAATAATAATAATAATTTTTTTGACTAAATAATTACAAAATTTATACTTCAAAAATAAACAAACACTGATAGAATACTTACAGAAAAAAGCCAATTACATTTATAATTTCTAAATTAAAAATAAGTGGTAAAAAGTCATCACGTAGGCTATTAATTGAGTTGTTGATTACAATTTTTATGACACATCATAATAAAGTAATAAAATTTTAAAAAAAAATTGAGAAAAATTAAAAAAAAAGAGTTTTAGATAAAAAGAAATTTAAAAATTGAAAGAAGATTTTTTTTTTTTTTTTATGATACTCAATCTGTATTTTATTTATGAATAATATAAAAATAAATTGCATGAAAAAAATTGTTAGGTTTTATTCTTGGCAACCCCGTTTGACAAAACTCCTTTCAGTTGTATTTATTTTCGCACTTTTATTTTAGTGAGGCTATGAGTGTTTAGATGCGAATCCAACCCGAATTGTGCCTTTCAGAGGAGTTTGTGATGCTAATGCTTTCAAGATTGCCACTTCGCTGATTATGACGGGGATCGAGCTGCCCGGTCAGCTCGCGGGGGTCGAGGGGGCAGCGCCCCTTGGCGGGTCCAAGGCAGCGCCACGGCGGGGTTGAGGGGCAGCGCCCCTGAAGCAAAATGCAAAAATGCATTCCAAGTTGCCTGTCCGCTCGAGCGGAGAATCCCTGGTTTCAGAAGTTTTGGTCGCCTGTAAAAGTACTGAGCTGTGTGATTTCGCGCTTGAGCGGGTTCTCTTGCACTCGAGCGGACCTCTGTTATATCACACGCATATTTTGCTGAAGCCGCTCGAGCAGGCTGTTGGGCGCTCGAGCGGAGATCACGGGACAGATTCTATAAATTCGCGTGTTGGGTCAGATTTTAGGATTACTACTCCAGATCTTCTTTTTGGGTTCTAGAGTTTATATCTGGGGATACTTTGTGAGTTTTCTTTGATATTTTATTGAGTATTCAACTCATGGTTTAAAGAGAGTACATCAAAGGTTGTGTTTTGTTCTACAAAAGAGAGAGTTGTTCTTCGGTGGATTCTGAAGAATTCGAGCCTGAAGCTTTGGTGGATTCCGGGGTGGCTCATCGTAAAGACAATTCCGAGGTGAAGACGGGTTGGAAGAGGCACATAGAGGTTGGTTCAATTAGGCGTGGATTCGCTAAGTAATTGAGAGTATACCTGTATAATTCCTTTAAATCTTCTTAGTGGATTGTTTTGTGGCTGTTGCCCGTGATTTTTTATCACAGTTGGAGGTATTCAATTGTGATTTTTTTCACGTAAAATCGCTGTGTCTCTTTATCTTGATTGTTTGATTGGGATTGTTATATTCTACTTAAAATTGATATATAATCACAAATCAACATCTAAAAAATATCTAAATTTTTCAAAAATTATATATTTACTTGATGAATAATTGCTTCTAAAATTAACAAAACGGTTTACATTAAAAATGCAAACAATAATAATTTGATTAAGAAAATTAAAGTGAGTAACTTTAGTAAGGAAAGGACAATAGAAATGTGCAAACCTGTCAATGATTTGATGGGAAGGAAATTTTTGAAAAGTTTGTGAAACTGTGGAACAATAAAACGAAAGTGAGGGAATAGAATGTGTGGTGTAGGGGTAGGGTTGGAATGATGTAAAATAAAAGTACGGAAATAAAACGTGTAGGTGTAGGGATGAAGTATTTTAAAAAAACAAAATAAATCTACTTGGACAATTAAATGAAAAAAGTTGTACGGTTAAATGAGAGAAGTTGTAGGTGTGAAGCAATAAAAGGTGAGGGTTCAAAACGTGACAGTTCAACAGTGCAAGTGTTTCTTCTTTTTTTTTTTTCTTTTTTTTTTAATTATATAATTTCCAAGTGATAAAAGTTCCAAGAGACTATTTTAGAGCTTCACTAAATAGTATATATATATATATATATGCACCTCTTTCAAGGGAAATGAGTTATAGGGAAATATTACATAAGGTATAACTTAATATTTTTGTATCATAATTAAAATTATGTTATAATCAATATCATACTAATTTATATATAATATCAAAATGTGTATAATTAACTCATAACTAACATGACAATAGATTATATAAAAAAGATTACAAATGTCGTAACTATATATAGAGGTATGAAAGGGAAGGGAGTAATCTATGGCCTATTTTGGTAACACGGTTAAAAAGTCAATTTTTGGGCTTTTTAGTTTTTTTAAATTATATTATCTCTTTATTTTTTTGCATATTTTTTCAAAAAAAGCAAAAATAAATAAAAAATAAAAAATTAACTTTTAACATACTTCTCAAAATAAACCTTCTTAGAGCATCATTATCAAGCTCATTAGAGCCTTCTTTTGGCCATTTTATGATACAAAACTATAGAAATACACACCATCAAACTCAATTATTGGCTAACTATTTTAATTGAATATCAAACTACTAGTTACATGTAGTTAGAAAAAAGAGGTTAACAAATGAAATAAAGAATAGAAGGTTTGTTGAGAATGTATTTGAAAAAATGGTTAGTTAAAATTTAACCAAAAAAAAAAAATTTTAATTAAAACTTTGACTATTTTAATAGAAATGCTCTTACAGCAGAGGTTCCAGTTTCCGGAAGAATGCCGCAAGTGCTAGATGCATAATTCAATCCCGTCGACGTTTCCAATCGCCGGAAACTCAAGTACGGCGGAGACAATGGCAGCCCAAGAAACTCAGCTAAATAACCAAAAAATAAAATCAAAAGAATTAAAAAATAATAGATGCTGAATATAATTAATGATCAAGATAATTAACAATAGTAGCCCATTTGTTTTTTGCAAAAAATAATTCAATCTCTCTCTCTCTCTCTCTGCAATTCAATTGTCATTGATATGTGAACAAATTATACCTGTGATCCTTGCAATTCCAATTGTATCAATTTTGTTCTTTTAATTTTTCATATTATGATAGTAATTTTTGTTAAAAAATAAAGCAAAATGAAAGAGAATTGACTATTTCAAATTAGACGTCGATATTTTATCACTTTTAGAACAGTGTATGAACTATTTTGCTTCTTCATTTCAGTTCAATTTCTAAAAAATCGTTATCAATTGAATTGAATTGACCAAATATAAAAAATTAAAAGATAAAGTTGATGCAATTAATATTATAAAAATCAAATTGACACAAGTTACAAGAATTACCAGTATAATTTGATATTTGTTAATGTATAACATGGTAAGGCAAAGAATACCAAGAACTTAACCTATAACTCTGATACCATGTTATACGTTAACATGGTTGAAGTTTTAAGTAAACTAATAAACATTGCAATTTTTTTTTTCCATTTTAATGATGAAGAACTTTAACGGACACATTATATTATTTAGGTTAAACCCGAGTATTTTGTATTCCGTGAGAGTCAAACAAGGGTAATTATACAGTAGTTTCGGAATATAGACACGTGGTATTCAATAATATTGTGATTGATGGAGAATGTGGATAGATGAGGTATTGTGTTGAATGACTGAGAAACATAAAAGGTATATTAAATGATAATTGATTAAGAAATATAAATACATGATTCTCCGAAAACATTGAATAATTTCCCGTCAAACATGGACTTCTGAAAATTATTCCATAATGGCTCATATGCTCAACTCCTCAATTGTTGGGGTAATTGTGAGTGCTCTGTCATTCATTTATGAGTGCAGTATTAAAATGAACATTGCATGGTTCCATACCTAAAAAATCAGCAACAGTTCTACCATTGGTGAATCTCCCGGTAGCTCCTCCGGGGAAATCAACACCGTAAGGCTTGAAGTTTGCCCTAGCTAAAGTTGGCAACAGATTGTTGTTGCCACTGTCCAGCAAAGAATCCCCAAAGACATAAAAAGCTGGTGCGAGTTGAGGATTTGAGTTCACTAAGGGAAGAAAATGAGAGAAAACAATCAAACAAAAGAGTACCAACATCATATGATTCTCCCCCCTCATCATCGTTTTTCCCTACAGTTTCTTGACAAGAAAATTGAAGAGAATTGAGTTTGGATAAGTAGAAAATGGGGTAGGAAGGTTTCCTGAAAAAAGAGAGTCATGGGCATGAAGAAAACCAAAGGTTTGTTGAACTTAAATAATAAAGTTATACGCACCAATTAGTAAACGGATGATGTAATATAATTTTAGAGACTTTGCGTCTTTGTAATTTATATAATATTTTAGAGACTTTGCGTCTTTGTAATTTATATAATTGGTTGGGTTCATTAACATATGTTGGTATGCTAGTATACCAATTGGTGCGTGTAGCACTACTAAAACTTAAATGTACAATGACACATAAACAGAATATGTATGAAATATTTTAATACATATTTTAAAAAAACTGTAGAGCTTACATGACAACAGAAACATATACCAAACCAAACCAAGCCCTAAGTCCCATCAAATAAGGTCGGCTACATGAATCCTTCTTCTCCACGCGGCCCTATCAAAGGCCATATTATTAGTCAAATTAAGTAGATTCATATCTCTATTTATAACGCTAGTCAACGTTAATCTAAGCCTATCCCGTCCCCTAACACTTCCATCTACCGTTACAGTATCGCATCTCTTCACTACTGCCTCTGTTGGTCTCCGTTGAATATGACCAAACCATCTCAAACGATTCTCTCTCAACTTATCTTATATCGGTGCTACTCCTACCCATTCTCGAATACATTCATTTCTAATCCTGTCTTGTCTAGTCTTACCACACATCCACCGTAGCATCCTCATCTCAGCCACACTCATCTTATCTACATGTTGTTTCTTAGTTACCCAACACTCCGTCCCAAACAACATAGCTGGTCTAATAGCCGTTCTATAAAACTTACCTTTTAGTCTAGTGGGTATTCGTTTATCGCACAATACTTCAGACGCACTTCTCCACTTACACCATCTCGCCTTAATCCGATGGGCCATATCTGCATCAATCTCTTCCACTGTTGTGATAATCGACCCTAAATAACGAAAATATTCACTCTTAAGCAGTTTTTGAAAAGTCAATTAAATAACATTTTTTGTCTTTTTAAAAAAAAATTTCTTCTTATTTTGGGATGTTTGCACATCTTGCAGGTATTAATTCTCTTGTTTGTGACCGCACACAAGATCATTGAAAGCTAATAACTATAAAGAAAACTCTTTTCATATAAAAAAATTTATATACAATACACCAAAATAAATATATTATTTTAAATAAAAATTATTTTCATAGGTTTTTAAAAAAATAAATAAATAATCCATATTAAGCCATATCATTTATACAGAAATTCTGTACACTTTCTAATTTCAATAACGCCACATATCAAGAAAATATATATTTATTTTATACTATTAACAATGGCTGCACTCACATACATTTTTTAAAAAAAGTTCTTTAAAAAAACATAATTAATGTGGTTATTTAATAGGGCTGGCCAGTTGGTACGAACACCTTGGAATTAATTCTCATATATATATATATATATAATAAATTTAAGAAATTAAAATTTCTCAATACAAATTAATTCAATTTTAGAAAAAAAACAAATATTGAGGGCTTCCATTGATAAGCATGTCTTTGGCATGAAAATCTGATTTGACAAAAGAAAAATAATCAAAAAATGATAATAATAAATTGTTAAACATGTGCTCATATTAAAAAATAAAAATAAAAATATATATTCTATGTACAAGTGCGTGTAATAATGTATAATTGTTTAAAATTTTTGTGAATTCAAAAAAATAAAAATAAAAATCAACATTATAAAATGGGAATTGGGGTCATTGATGTGCCTTTGGCACAGCAGTGAGTGTTGTACCTCATTTTGAGATTCATTATGGGTTTATTTTTATGATCTGAATCGTTTATTTTGTAAGATTTGTTGAGTACTTCATGACTATCAAAAATCATGTTAATCGGGTATAAAAAACTATATGATCGAATTGTATATTTTTATACTATTTTTTAAAAGAAAAACTTCTTGTTTATTTTTTTGGTTATCAATCATATAGTTATTGATATCCGATTAATATAATTTTTCGTAAGCATGAAGTACTCAACAAACCCTACAACATAAACGGTTCAGATTATAAAAATAAATTCATAATGAAGCACAAAATAAAGCATAACAGTCACTGCTATGCCTATAAAATGTGGGTGAGTTTTAGCATTAATTGCATGCAAAATTAGAAATACCTCACCATCAAGGTAGGACAGACCAAGGATACCTGGCCTTTTATTTATTTATTTTGTTTTGGAAATTATTATTATGATGGTTGTTAGGTATGTGCTTTAAAACCCAACAATTTGCCGTTGAAGTGGTTTTTTTTTTTTGGCTTTAACATTGAAGTGGTTAAGAACTCAAAATTTAAAGAACCCAATTATGTCCCCTGTTGTTCTTAAGGCCAAGTTTGGAAAAACTAAATAAGTGCACTTTTTGATTTTTTTTTGTATTATCTGTAGAAAAAATAGAGAGGAGATATTGATTGATGTGACCTAAAAAAGATAAAAAGATGAAATAAGTGCACTTTTTTAGGTTAGCCAAACTTGACCTAAATCATTGATTTCCGATCATTCAATATAAGTAGTAAGTCTCATTTTTTTTCCATCAATTATAACACACTTAAAACACTATGTGGTCGTGCCTCAGAATCACAAATTTCCTGGCATTTACGTCGTACTTGGGAACTCAATTTTTTTATTAGTTTTATTAATTTCTTAATTAATTTACATTTTTTTAAAACCTTTTTAGCTTTTTAGTCAAAAAAAAATCAATAGTCAAATGAGCCCTTAAAATTGACCCCTCTAGTGCATAAATTATTGTGTGAGTAAGAAAGATCACGCCACATTGTATGAGTTAGGAAGATAACGTGATTATGTATGTATTTTTATTTTTCCACCATTTTCTTGATTTTAAGCTTATATAACTATTAGACCCCTTATTATTAGTTGCGCACGCCGCCAACATAAAATTTTCAAAATTACTCCCTGCAATGGTTTTACAAAATTATTATTCGAAAGGGACTCACCGAGTGGCCCATCATCCTTTATGGCATTATAAATAGAGGCTTTTCCCAAATTAATTAGGCCTAGGTACTAAATTATTTTCCAAACTAAGCTTAGTTTGGCCGAATTTTCCAAAATAAGCTGAAGTGTGTTTACAAAACACGCTTTCAGCATGTTTTTGGTTTAGGCGGACAAAATAAACAAAATCCTAAAAGCATGGTTGGAAAACACAACTTTAAATAAGAAAATGTTGTTGCTGTTAGCGTTTTCAGCTTAAATAATAGCGCAATTTCTAACCATGCTTTTAACAGAAAGCGTGATTTCTAATCACGCTTTTAGCAAAAAGCCATTATAAAATGGCCCACCCCCCTTCATTTGCAACCACGCTTTTAAACACTTCTCTTTCTTTTCCCCCAAAACCTGAACCAATTCTCCCTCTCTCTGTTGCTCTCTGCTCTCTCTCTTTCTCTCTCTCTTTGTGGGTCGATCTCTGCTCTCTCTCTGTGGGTCACTCGCTCACTCTCTCTCTCTCTTTCTCTGTTAGAATTTTATTTATGTTAATTTTGTTTGTGAAAATGTTAATGTGGGTAAATAACAATGTGGGGTTTTGTGAATTCAAATTGAGGAAGTTTGGAAGATAGAATAGTTTGAATATAATTCGGAAGATAGAATAGTTTTGTGAATTGAAATTGTTTTGTGAATTCAAATTGATACCAATGTGGGTAGAATAGGGTTCTGTGAATTGAAATTGCGGTTTTGAATTCATAGAACCCTAGCCCTAACCCAATTTTGTTAGGGCTAGGGTTTTGTGAATTCAAATTTTGGTTATTATATGCATTTGTGTTTGTTTGTGAATTCAAATTTTGATTAGTTATGAGTTGCACCAATCTCTGTGTTTGTTTGTGAATTCAATTTTTGTCTAGATAGGTCAATCTAGATAGAATCCATGTCCTAAAACCGTAGGAGACACAAATAAATTAAATTTTTTTGTTGCAAATAAAATTATGGATAAACCCAAAATGATATTTGTCATTTTCTTTTATCTTATATCTACTAGTTGGCTCCCCACGCAAGGAGTCGTGGTATAGTTTCAATATAAATATTTTTAAATTATGTTTGGTTTATGAATTTAAAAAGTGAAATGTAATTATATTTTATATTAATTTATTTATCTTCTGTTTTTCTCTTTGCAAATTAATAGCAATATGAACATAGCTATCTGTCATATTAGATGTAACTATATTTTCACATTTGTAGTAAAAAATAATATTTTTGATAACAAAATCAACAAAACTATAGAGAAGAGCACTATATTTACCTACTAATAGAAAAATAATTCATCTACGTAATTTCTCTGAATAACCTGCCAAGTCAAATTTAAAAAACTAAATTCAAATATCCGTGCAAACTTTCCTTATATGTATTTTGGGAAGAAACTGTATAGTTATAACATTATTATCGACAATAAGTATTCAATACGATCTTATCCGGATGTTATGTACAAACATATTAATGTTGATGGTTTGATAATAATATGCATACCGTATACATCTTGTAACATACATTTAACCCAAAAAAATTTGGCAAAAAAAAAATGTTCACTATATCATTCCATGCCGTGACTTGTTTTTATAACATTATACATTATAGTAGAAATATAGTGAAGATTTGTTTACAAAAGATAAGAAGAAGAAGAAGTACTCTGTGTTAGTGTGATTATGTACAATGTGTATAGATACATTTTTGTTTTTCTTGATATACAATATTTTAATCTTTCATATTTTATACAGATGGAGGCAGAATACATTCTTTAATCTTATGGGTTGAAAACCAAGACCTGACTCCTATTTTTCAATTATTTATTCTTTTTAAATTGAAGAGCTATTAATAATTGTTTTTATAATATATGTATTTTTTAAATATATAATCTCTTACTAATTTTCTTTTATATATAAATATATATTTAGTTCTATAAATATTTTCTTAATCTTTTTATTGATTTGAACAAACTATCAACCTGATGTTCAAGTTTGTTTGGGACATGGATTCTGTGTTTGTTTGGTACAAATGGATTCAAGTTTGTAAGAGTCTCTAGCGTTGCGTT